ATGCAAGTTCAAGATTATCTTTTTATTTAAAAAAAAACAATTAAAGTTATTGGCATACATCATTTTAAAAATGAAAATGATATGTATAAATATATAAATTATTTTAAATTAAAATTAAAAGATAAATATTCTTTGTTACTCTAGAAGATTAATACAAAACTTGGTGAATCAGGAATCATGATTTTTAAGCTCAAGTATAAAAAATATCAAGGGTTTTCTTAAGCTTTAAAAAGTACAAGAAAGGTAAGCATTACTTTTTGTGGGCTCATTTTATACCTCTTGTCAAATTTTTGACTCACTTTGCGCATCTTTTAATTTTTGATACACTTTATGTATCTTTCTTAATTTTGACGCCATTACACATTTTTTTATTTGGCATCATTAACCACTTTTTTTTTAATATGCTACTTTTCTAAAATTTTAAAAACAAAAGTAAACCTATTATATTGACAAAATGAACTACTTAATTAAGAAAATTATGATGAAGATTCAACAACTTGCAAAAGATCCCTATGTGATAAACAAAAATATAGAGAGATGAAAAAGATCGGTTTTAAAATCCAATTTATAATATGATGAAGATTTTGAATAAAAAATAAAATAACCTCTTTAAAAAAAGAGATAAAGAGATAAAATCATGAGTTTCATTCATTTGACTATTTTTAGAGAAGTTAACGACACCTTCCATAAGAATTCAAGAAAAATAGGTGGTAGGTTTTTCATTTTTGAAAAGTGAACGTGTGTGATGATTAGAGGAACTTCACAAAAAGAAAAAGTAAAGACAAATTTAAAATTATAACTTAAAAAAAAAGGAACGAAAAATAAACAAATAAATAAATAAACCTAAAGAAAACACAAAAAAAAAAAAAAAATCATTTAGCTTAGAACCTTTTATTCATTTTTTTTACTTGAGGATGGAGAAAAGGCAAGGACTCAAAGTATTGAGAAATGTTTAATAGTTATAATTATTTCAAATAAATATATATAAGTAACCATTAGATAATATTGTCCTCCAATAGAATTTCATAGTTAGAATTTGAAGAATTTATTCTTATATTGTTTTGGGAAAAAATTGCCAAATACAATTTTTATTAGATGGGCTTAAGAGCCTTTCCATACATTGAAAATAAAATAATTTCAGCAAAAATTTAAGAGTTTTTACACAATTCTGCGGTAAATTATGTCAAATATTCTTATTAAATTTTTTTTTTCTATTTATATAAAATAACAATCATACTATTTTAAGGATAGGAAAATTTCCAATTCAATTGGAAAAAATTGTATGAGATCCTATCCTTCTAGATTTTGAGTCCATGGTATTTTCATCCCTTAAATCATGATATGGCAAACCCCATTGGCGTGAACTTTAGGCTTGATCCTTCAATTCATGCCCTTTCAATTCAGTTTTATTATTGGGAGTATAACAATTAATATGAATCTTAAGTCTCGTTTGGGCCAGTTTTTTTCTTGCTTTGTAAAACAATTTTTAGTACAAAACTTTCGCGAATTAAATTTTTTTTACTAACAAGCTATTTTAAAAAACATTAAGAAAATTGTCCCAGACAAAACCTTAAAGATACAATGCAACAACAACATGAAGCCTTTGTCCCACTAAGTGGGGTCGGCTACCTGAATCTTTTTTTATTCATTGTGTCATGTTAAAAGCCAAATTCTCATTTAAATCTAATAAAGAAATATCATTTCTATTATTTTATAACCAAGTCTTTTTAGGACTACATCTACCTTTCTTAATATAAGTTAAATCTAATAACCCTACTTTCTTAATCGGGTCATCAGAAGACCGTCGTTTTATTTGACAAAATCATCTATGGCAACTCTATCTAATCCTATCTTCCACTGGAGTAACTCCAACCTTTTCACGTATATGCTCATTTTGTATCCTGTCTCTAACAGTAAATCCACTCATCCAATTGAGCATTCTCATCTCTGCAATACTTAACTTAGTATTATTCTTCTCTTTTAATGACCAACATTTTGCACCATAAATCATTACAGGTGTAATAGCCCGTATTTTGACTTTTTCAATTTTTTTCTAGAGTCATTATAACTCCAAATCGTAATTTGCCTTTGTCATAGTATTTTGATCGTAAAGCCGTCATAGTATTTTGATCGTAAGGCCGACCAACCATCGTTGCTTGACTGAAAACCTCCGTCTACCATAATCATCCATCAATTACTTCTCACATAATTTTTGCTACAATTATAGGAGACCAAACTAGTGATTCAAATTTTATATCATTATTTCTCTAATTGTAGTGGATTATTTCAACTATAGGAGGTCCTATGATTTTTTTTTCTCTTTTTAGATTTTTCACATAAAAATTGATATTATTTGCATTTTCTTTTTTACGGTGTATTTGATAGACCTTCCTATAAAGTTAGAATATAAAACTTTCTCTATTATGGTGAATTTGTAGAACACAACACAGTCAAATTTCAATTAAATGAAACTTATAGAATGAAATTTTCTTCAAGAATGATACATTTTAATTTTAATTGATTTATTGTAAATTATATCTATCTCAAAATAAATGTTTATAGTATTGCTTCATGCCAAAACATTTTTTGGTAGTAGAGAGATAGAGGGTTCAAATTCCTAACTTTTACAAATATCCAACACATGCATAGATGAGAGAGGAATACAATATAATTATAAGAGATACAAAATTTTTAATGTGAAAAACTTTAAAAAAAATTACAAGGCTCGACCCAATTAATATGATTCCACTAGCATTCATCATTACTCATTAGTTACAAATGATATCATTTCTCAGAGGAATACATTAATTAAATATAATTCAAACATAAACTATTTAGAACATATTGCATTGTTAATTTTAGTAGAATCATGTGGCATGAGAGTTATCTTTGAGATATTGTATTGTTTATTTGTTGGGTGTACTCCCTTGAGAAGAGTAGATCAAAGACCAATAAGTTTAGCATAAATCTCAAAACTAATATCGGGGGTTAGAGTTAGTGTTGATGGTTGCATTAGCCATATAAATGATGATATGCATTGATATTATTTTAGTCATGGTACATGATAAGTTCAATGAACGTCGGTGTAGTTTGATAATAGCAATTAGAAGGCCATATGAAAAAATTTGGAGGACCGTAGTTGGGTGTTGGCAATTAAAAGAATTGTAGTTGGGTGATGGACCTCGAAGGTTAGTAGGTAGATGATGGTGTTAATAAGGACCATTTGAATGATAGTAGTCAGAGGACTGTAGTTATATGACAGTCAAAGGATCGTATAGAGCGAAAGGTAAGGATCGTTGTCGGACGACGATAGCCAAATGACTATAGTTGAGTGACAATTAACCAGAGCATCATTGTCGATAGACGGTGGTCAAAAGGATCAGAGTCAAGTGACAGTGGTCCGAAGAAATGTAGTTGGGTGGTGGTAGTCCAAAGGACCGTAGTTACGCAACATAGATCAGAGAAACATAGTCAGGCGACCAAGTTTGGTGGACCGTTGTCAAGTGACGAAGGTCAGATAATCATTATGTGATGATGGTGATAGGGTGATATTCTAATAATAACAATTGGGCGGTGGCTCAACGACAACATTAGGTAGTGTTTTGACTATAGGGTCGGACAATGGAAGACAACAATGTTCAACAGTAATTTGATAGTGGCAATAGGGCATTAGCTCAAAGGCAGTAGTCGATCATTGGTCTTGTGGCAACGATTGATCATGGTCCAATGTCGATAGTAAGATGAGGATCCAACGATGCATTGAACACTGGTCCTTCAGTGGTGGTCTAGGATCCTTAGAGTTTTAAGAGCTCCTTTGAATCTCAAACCAAAATCCAACCTCCTAGTCCCTCTTCATGTACAGAGTAGGTGCCTATTTATAAATTTTTAGAGTGACATGCATTTAATATAGATAAAATCTAGAACACTCCATCAGATGGCCTTTAGTGATTCTTTTGATCATAAAACATGCGTTCAACATTTAAATGTCTTAAGCTTCATTTGTGACTACTTTATTGATGCTTCTTAAAGCAGCTTTCAAGCACAAAAAATAAAATATTTGTACTAGAAAGCTGCTTTAAGAAGCTGTAAGAAAGTCATCCAATCGAAGCCTTAATGTCATTAGAATTAAATGATATTATGCTTGTTAGATTTATCTTATTGAGATGCTCAATCTTAATGTAAATATGTCAAATTTGGAGACATTTGATCATCCAACTAATACCTCAAAGTTTTCAAGTGAGTTTTAAGTGCTTGTTCTAAGTTCATTCGAGATCGAATTGGACCAATTTTAATATTATTAGTTTTTTTCTTGTAATGATGTTCAATTTAACTATAAATTTGCCTAAAATTGCAGTTTAGATGATCCTAGATTTAATTTCGAAAGTCCCTCATGCAAATATGTTGAAATTGGTGAGTATTAAGCATATTTTTGGATGATATATCAACTACAAAGATTATTCTAATCAAATTTGAATCAGAATACCTTAACATTCTCTTTAATCAAAATTAGCGTAGACGCTGTAAGTTGACGAAGGCAAGAAAAGTTAGAAGCAACTTCCCCCAATACGGCGAAGTCAAGTTTGAGTACCTTCCAATTCCAGAGGTCCCGTGTGGGGAAACTTCAAATAATAATAATAATAATAATAATTTAAATTAAATTTTAATGATAATAAAATTCATCCTGAAATGATTTTTTTTTTCTTACGCGGTTAGGCCAACATTTGATAGAAGAGACCGAGGTCAAATTAATAATTTAAAGATCCAACCGCAGGCCGCTCCTATAAGGTGTTCGCCTCTTTACAAAATTGGAAGTTTCGGCCTCTTCAATCTCGCTCCGCCCATTTCAACCGCTTGGATATCTTCCCATTTTTTCGGGCCTTCCTTTCTCCTTCTCGCATCGATTTGATGTTAGGCTCAACATTTGATAGAAGAGACCGAGGTCAAATTATTAATAATTTAAAGATCCAACCGCAGGCCGCTCCTATAAGGTGTTCGCCTCTTTACAAAATTGGAAGTTTCGGCCTCTTCAATCTCGCTCCGTCCATTTCAACCGCTTGGATATCTTCCCATTTTTTCGGGCCTTCCTTTCTCCTTCTCGCATCGATTTGATCGAACTTTTGATCCGAGTATTTTCAGGAAAGCTTTCTCGTGGAGAATCCCGCCGGAGAGAGCGCAGCAACCATAGCGGCGGCTCCTTCGATCTGTAATCATGAATACCGAGTAGTAAGTTCTTCCAAGTCCAATTTTCTAATTGTGTCGAAGAATTGGTTGTATACGTAGGTTTTGATCTATCTGGATGTAGAAGGGAATTTTTATTATAAGGCTGGAGCGATTTAGTTTTTGGAGTCATTTGGTGATTGTGATTTTCTTGATTACTAAGGGAATTGGCTTTATGTTGCTTTGATTACGATTTTGAGCGACTGTTTGTCGAGATCTGGTCCGCATCTACCTCCACGGTGCTATTCGCACCTGATATTTTCTCCAGATCTGGGCTTTAGATTATATTGTCGTTGAAGTTTGTGGTTTGGGTGGCTTGGTTATACGACAATTTATGATTCCTTTAGCCTACGTTTACTAACGTTATGCCTCTATCATTTTTTTTTTTGGGTATAGAAAGGATGTAATTTTTATAAACTCGTATCTAAATAGATGGCTATTGTTGGGTCGGCTCTTTCTTAGGCTTCATTATGTGTTGGATGGTTTGTCGGTGTTAAAAGGTTGATCCTTTTTTACATTTTGCGTGCAATTTTTTTTTTTTTTTTTGTTAAATTATGGAAGCGCATCATTCATATTTTGTAACGTTACATCCATGAATAATTTTTTTTTGTCTGAATTTGGCGGTATTAGATGGTGAAAGACCTGGCCCTTTTGTTTTTTACACTTAAGAAATGAGAGAAGACCCATAATGCATTATTGTTTGCAGAATTCAGAACTCCTTTTATTTTTGTTTTCTTATACCATTTCTACAGTTCGGTTGAATGTATGTAACTTGCCCACTTCTACCGAGGGGAATTATAGGCTGAACCGAAAATTTGTGACCATGGCATGGAATGCATCTTAATTTGATAAATATGAAGGCTATGCCATCTAAGAAATATGAATAATCTTCTCAATTTTGAGTAATCTTGTTCCACCTGTTCTGTTTTTTTTTCTTGTCGACCCCTAAGAATTGGGATAAGATAATGATTGTGATGATGCTGTCTTAATTGCCGCAATGAATCTTTTTACTTCGATTTACAATTTATTTGTTATGCTCTAACTATTTAGTTTTGGTGGTAGGTACCTTTCATTATTTTTTTCTCTCTCTAAGACAATTTTATTATTGTTCATATCAATATTTTATATAAATAATTATATGAATCAATTGGTTTGTGAAGTATCTATAGCTTCGTTTGGGGACAGTTTATGTTTTTTTTATTTTTGCTTAAGCTCCCTTCTCAGCCAGAGTTTTCAATATGTTTTTCCAAAAATAGTTTTTGAAGGCAAAAAATTTTGAAAAAATGGGTGAAAAAGTTCTCAACTAAATGCACATTATTTTTAAAACCACAAAGCAATCAAAAAGTTATCCCAAACAAAGCCTATAACTCCATGCAAACTATACATTTACTAGTTTCATCAATTTAAGGAGTTGAAGCCTTGACACTATTAAGCAGAGGTAAGTACTAGAACTTTCATATTCAATTTATTTTTCTTGCAAACTATTTTTATAGTTGAATTAAAATTTATATATGTACATGCATATTTATGGTTATGAACTTAACCCACTCATACCTATGTGGGATAGAAGCTCAATTTTTTTGAAGCTCTCTCTTTATATTCCTCGCTCTTTGGATATCTCTAAATGTTACTATTCTAAAAATGACTTATCAAAAGGTAATCATTTTAAAGAGAAATATATTTACTTTTTTTTTGCAGTGATTATCTGTTTAAGCTTTTGCTTATTGGAGACTCTGGTGTTGGCAAATCATGCATCCTTCTAAGATTTGCTGTAAGTAGAAAAATTTTGTATTGTTTTCTGCTATATTATATAATTTTAACTAACTAAAATATTTTGAACTACTTGCATCCTTTTTTAATGTTTTTGTTCTTTATTATGTAGTGTTAACTAACTAATTTTTTAAAGTTTTACTTCTATTATGTATTGTTAACTAGCTAACATATTGTTTAATACCTATAACCCTTCTGTAAGCTTCTTGTGAAGTAATTCTCATGTTTACTAAACCTCAGTTGCCTCTTAAATGCATCACCTATGCTTTATCCAAGTAATTTACAAATAATGATTTTTTTACATTTTGCAAATTTATTTTGATGTCTTCCACGTGGTTGGTTTGGCAACTACCTCGGATGTTTGCCTCAGGATGGAAGTCATCTTCGGGTTTAAGGTTTCTTAATGCAGACCTACGATAAGATGCATAAAATAACAAACTTACATTCAAATTTGTAATTTAGGAAATTTTAATTTGGGCAAGTATTTTTATTTCCTTAGATGAAACTAAGAATAAAAAAATAACATGGCATAATTGATAATGCAATAGCTATTCATGAGATATATCATATATCACATACAAATTCGAAAGCATGAAAACCCTATATTTGATTGAAATATACGTCATAGCTTAAAATTAGATAATACTAGATCTGATAAACTCAATTAATGTGCTTACTTTTAACTATAAATTAGGGAATAGAAAAATGAAAGTTGCTAGATCACCAAATAGGCACACCAAACTTTGTGCTTGTACAACAACTACAACATCATCGTCAAGCTTCTATCCCACTATGTGGGGTTGGCTACATGAATCTTTTTTCTTCATTGTGTCCTATTGAGAGTTAAATTCTCATATAAATCTAATAAATAATGGTCATTTATAACATTTTATGATCAAATCTTTTTAGGTTTACCTCTATCTTTCTTAACATAAGTCAAATATAATACATCTACTTTCCTAACCGGGTCATCGGAAGGCCGCCATTTTATGTGACTAAACCATAAAAGGAGACTCTCTAATCTTATCTTCCATTGGAGCTACTCCAACCTCTTCACATATATGCTCATTTCGTATCACATCTCTATGAGTAAAGCCACTCATCCACCTAAGCATCCTCATCTCTACAATACTCAACTAAATATTATGCTTCTCTTTTAATGGTCAACATTATGCACCATAAAGCATTGCAGGTATAACCACCGTCTTATAAAATTTTCCCTTAAGTTTGAGAAGGACTTTTCTATCACACAACAAACCCGATGCATTCCTCCATTGCAACCATCCAAATTGAATTCTACTAATAATATCCCCATCTATTTCACCATCACTCTGAACAATAAACCCAATATCAAAAACATGTACTCTTATTAATGACTTGATCACCCAAAGTCACAATCCCCCACTAGATCTATTATTACTAAAATTACACTTCATATATTCAATTTTAGATCTACTCAAATGAAAGCCTTTAGACTCTATGATTGAACTCCATAATTCAAGTTTACCTTCAACTCCATCTTTAGTCTTATCAACAAGAAGAATATTGTCAACAAAAATCATTCACCATGGTACAACCTCTTGCAAATGTCTAGTGAGAACATCCATGACTAAAGAAAAAAGATATGGCTTAAGGTTGATCCTTGATGTAATCCAACTGAAATAGGAAAATATATGGTCAAACCACCTTGTGTTTGAACACAAGTAGTAGCTCATGCATACATATCCTCAACGACTTGAATATAAGCATTATTAACCCCTTTCTTTTTTAAAACTTTCCATGACACTTCTGTTGGAACTTTATCATATGCTTTCTCTAAATCAATAAATATCATATGTAGATCCTCCTAATTCTCTCTATACTTCTCCATCAAACTTCTCAATAAATGTATAGCTTCCATAGTAGATCTACTAGGCATTAATCCAAATTTATTTTGAGAAACATTAGTATCAAGCCGCAACCTATGCTCCATAACCTCTCTCCCACAGTTTTAAAGTATGACACATTAGCTTAGTTCCTCTATAATTCGCATAATTTTGTGCATTACCTTTATTCTTAAAAATATGAATCAACACACTCATTATCCACTCATCTGACATCTTTTTTAGTCTTCAAAATAATAAAAAAAAGTTTAATAATCCAAGAAATTCATTAATCTCCTAAGCATGTCCACACCTCTATTGGAATATCATCAGATCCAACAGCTTTTCCACAATTCTTTTTTTAAGTCTCTCTAACTTCGGTTTTACTAATACGTCGATAAAAATAAAAATATTTATTTTCATTTAGGGTGCTAAGGTCACTAAAGTCAATCGCATTCTCATAATTTTCATTGAAAAGTTTAGAAAAATATCTCAACTACCTTTGTTGAATATCCTCTTTTAATAAAAATATTTTTTAATCTTCATCATGAATATATTTCACTTGAACTAATTAAATCCTTACTACTCTTATCTCTTTGTTTGACTAACTTATACATATATCTTTTGCTCTCTTTAGTATCTAATTTATTATATATAAATTATTATAAGCTAAACTTTGTGCTTGTATAAGGAGAAAATTTATGTCTGAAATCTTCAATCTCAATTCTTAACTTATACTAGGAAAAGCTAGAAGGAATTACATCCGCTTAGAAATTTATTGAATCAAAATATATTCAACTTAAGATTTTATATGCCTCAAAATCATATATTTATAATCTCAAAATTTCATGAATATTATAAATAAAAATTCATAGTTTAATTTTATAGTAGTATCCAATTTAAGAGAAATACAAAACCACATAACAGACACAACACGTTATAGAAGCCACAAGAATTGCAGGAAGCCCCAAAGATAAGGTGTTATCATGGAGGTCACAATGAGCACCAAAATTTTCATAATAGAAGAGATCTCTTATCGACAGATATTCAAAACTGAAGGCCAACAAAAAATGAGGCATTGAGCCAACTAAAATAGAGAAGCTACCAGGCAAAACAAAGAGTTGCTATATAAGGAGTTCAAAAACTAGAAAATCAAATAACACAATCCATTATTTTAGAATAAAATAAAATTTCTTTCATTTTCTCGATTTATTCATCTCAATTCTGTGGGCTCCGAAAAATTCCAATTTTAGGATGTGATCCCAAGGGAATTTTCAGAAGGCAGATTGGGTTTTAGATAAGACACTACCCAGAGATTTCGCCCTCATTTGGTGAGGACTTTTTGATCTGAGTTCTGGTTTCCTATAGGCGCAAGCCCCTATCTATCATCTCTAGTTGTGCTGGTGAGGTGAAAAATACTTATGTATAGTTAATAATTATTTAAAATAAAACTATATAACATTGCAATCTTTTTAATTTTATGAACATGAATAACTTAAATATTATTTTGATATACGCATTCTTTATGTTTGCGTGACAGCATTGTGACTCAAAAAGGAAAATCAAAACGGAATGATTTAGGAGAGAAAATGAAGAAGAAAACTAGCAACAAAGTACCTAGTTAGGAGCTATGGGGGGGATTGCGACTCAAGATTAGGCCTATAAATGGGTAAAATCTTCACCTATTAATGAGATATGCCTAAATCAGTGACACTTTGTTTGGCTCGATTCATTGAGTATTGAGCCAAACACAAATGAGTTCTAATTTGTTAACGGGTTGAAAAATGTTATTCGTATTCAGCTCATTTTTTGTCGAGCTAAATATGAGCTAAACATGAACAAGAGGCCCAATTACCAGCCATCGAATGCATCAGGAATTTTTCAATTGGTGTTTGCTATTGCATGGTTTTATGATTTTCATAGTAAAATGCCCTTTAAGATTCATAGGACGTTACCATCTCTTTTATCATTTTTAAAGATGATTTGATAGATTTTTTTGGAAGAAAGATGCAAGAATAAAGTGAACTTATATGTATATTTACACGCTTAATCAAATAGGCTCTTATTCATATTCGACTTATATGTAAATGATATGACATTTCAAGACTCCTATGGTAGATGAGTTTAAAAATCTTATTCAAACTCAATTCATTTTTTTAGTGAATAATTCAAACCTGAATATTTATTGAACTTATAAAAATGAACTATTCGTGAACATCGAGCATTTTTTGCGCCAATAATTGTATTGAAGAATGATGGAGAATGGTTAGAGAGAGAGAAATGGCTTTATAAATTGTGCGTATTTGACATAATAATGAGGGTGTGCAAGTATGAGTTGCAATTTAAACAATGAGTAATGCTAACTTTGTTTAACCCTATTTTTTGTGGGGGTAATTATCATAAATTAACCCCACTTTTAAATTTTAGCTTTTAGTTACTTTCATTTCATTGAATTTTAGGGGGTGCAGTTGTACCCTCTTATTATAGTTTAGATTTTCCCTTTACTCAAATTAATATGATGATCAACTTGGCATACACCCAAAACCAATATGTGATATTGAATATAATTCCTCCTCTTAGCATACATACATCAAGGTTTTATCAAGCTGATCAGAATTAAATATGCTCTTGTTCATATTTAAATAATTTAGTAAATGAATTGAAAAATCTTATTCAAACTTAGCTCATTTCCTTAATGAATCAACCAAACATGAATTGTTATTGAATTGAACGTGAACTTTTTGTGAACATCGCGCTTTTTTGGACACCCTTATTTGAGATGAAGGGGAATGGAGAGAGAGATAGAGAGAGGGAGAGAGAGAGAGAGAGAGAGAGAGAGAGAGAGAGAGAGAGAGAAATAAATGAGATATAAGAATTGTGAGTTGTAGGCAAAATAATGAGGTAGTAACAATATGAGTTGATAATTTAAATATTTGGCAATGCTTTATTTTGTTAGCCCTGTTTATTCGATAATAATAATAATAGTAAATTAATCTTACTTTCAATTTCAACTCTTCATAATCTTAATTTTATAGAATTTCATGGGTGCAATTATACCCCCACATTATACTGTTGATTTGCCTTTGGATGGAATCGATATTGAAGTTAATTACTCCCCCTAAAATAAAGAATTCTCCAACTCTTCCTAGAATACTTATTTTGCTTGTCGTGATCATTATCCATATGTTATGTTATTTAACAAAGTGTAGAATTCAGAAAGAACTTATTTGCTCGGTTCCTATGTAATAAAATGGTGTGGCTAAATGAAAATTTTGGCATATCTTTGGGACAATTGGAAGTGTGCTTTATGTCAAGCATATTAAACAAAAATTTTGGGTTGAGCACATGCAAATTAATGTTTATGTTATGAATGGAACTCCTCTTAGTAATACTGATAATTTTTTAATTAATGAGAACTTATCTAATTAAGGACAAAATATTTCTCATCTTTGAATATTTAATACAGTTTATCTTGTGCATAATTCCGATCATTTTTCTCGTAAGCATGATAACAAGTCTAAACGGTGTTGAAGAGTATGCCTCTTACCTAATAAATGATTATCCTCCTCTTTTTTTCTTTTTCCTGTTTTCTTTTTTGGAGTATGGTGAGTGCCAAGTCACAATTTGATCTAGGCGGGATGGACCATGGCAGCAACTTCCAAGTTCAGTTATTTACCTACTAAGCTACCTAACTCTAACTCCTGATCTTCTTAGAATAATTAGCCTTCTTAAAATAATTATTCTCCATAAATTTTTTTATTTGATTTGGATTCAAAATTTTTATGTGCTTTTATATGATTTGATCAAGTTTTATTAATTGTGGCTTTCTATAATGAGAATTAGAGTTATTCTATATATGGTGGTGCAAAATGAAAATGTAATCAATCTAAAAGAATATAATATTATTTTCTTTACTCCTTACTTCTTATTGTCTTCAGCCCTAATTGCAACAAAGTAAAAAGTAAAAACTATTGGGAAGTAAAACCGCACAATGAAACAAATAAGAAAATAAAATAGTGGAAAAGTACACTAGGATTTGACGTGGAAAAAATCAAAATTGAGAATAAACTATGAAGCCATACCACACTAAGAAATTCACTATGAAATTGAGAGAAACTATACATATCTCTTTATGTCTCACTCTTTCCTTATTTATCTTCATGTTTCTTTTTGTTCTCTACTCAAAACATATACTCAAAACATCTACTCAAAACAGACAAAGTGATGCATCTATAAAACACCAAGGAACACAACCCTTCAAGTGAAGTATGAAAAATGAGAAAGAAAACTACTCAACCCGACTCGTAGTGTTGGGATTTGGAGAGCCGCGGCGCTCTACTCTCTGTCTCCAACCCAACTCGCAGTGCTACACACTAGTTCTGGAGCACCGCAACACTCACTCAAAGCATCGCAACATTCCACTCTCAGTTTCCAAGTCAAGATTACAGCGTTGTCGCGTTGTATCTTACTATGCTACAGTGCCCAAGTATATAACACTGCAGTACTCTAATGTACAGTGTCGCGGCGCTGTACAACTGTACGGTGAAAAAAATTCGTGGCAAGGCCCGCGAACCCCAAGTATGGGGAGGCCCCCCTACAATTCCTTAACGAGCTTGATCGGCGAAATTGATGTCTCAGTCAACAATACAAGCCGATTGATCGATACAATCAGATTACAAACAGGACTAACAAAAATTGATGTAATACATGCTTGGAGTTACAAAAGATTAACAAGAGAATTTAGTAGAAGTTGACCTTTATAAAGTTATGCATCAATTCAAAGTTATAAAAATTCGGGGTCTTCCACTTTCTTAGGCAAAGAAATACGTGAAGAATAACCAAGACACTCCCAATCAAATACAAAGGCGAAGTAATGTAAAAGCTTATAACACATCCAAAAGTTAATAATGAGATATTCACCTTGAGAATCTATTCTCTCTCTACGGATCTAGGTTGAGCGGAGGAAGATCTTCCACACTAGAAATGAAGTGACCACTAGGAAAGACGAGCCGAGGAACGTCATTGTTGGGAAGGTAGCCGGAGGTGGAGGCGGCACGTAGCGTCCAATGAGGGACCACGAGGTTCGTGGTCGTTGAAGTTCAATGGTCCCGACAAGACAATACACGATACGATTGACGTATCGTTCAACGGTGACGTCGTACTCCCAATCCGGTTCGTAGAAGGGGGAGAGGAAAATGTCGATCTCCCCTTGCTCATTGTACGCAAAACCGTGATCGACCTCAAGATCGGCCATGCACGGTAATCATGGGGATGAGGGAACACGAGGAGGAAAGCCCAAGAGAGGAGAGGGTGGTGGACGGCTACAGGAAGTGGGGAGGCGGTGGGCTCAGGTAAAGAGAGAGAGAGAGAAGAATAGGGGGGGAGGGGCGGGTAGATCCACTTAGGGTTTGAGGGATTTAGGAAAAACTGAAATTAATTTCAGTTTTAGGAGAATTGGGGGGAGATTAAATGAATTTGAAATTTGAATACCAAGTGGGGATGGGTAATTAAGGGGGGAATTAATATTTGAACCCCCTAGGGGCCGACGGCATGATGAGAAGGGGAGGGATTAGGGGGGGGAGAATAAAAGCTGAAATTAATGTCAGCTCAAGTGAAATTGGAGGGAGAATATTTGAAATCAATTTTGAATTTCAAATAAGGGTGGAGGAGTAATTGAGCATTCAATGGGGGAAGCCCAATAAAGGGCCGGCGGCATCATGCATGAGGGAGGGGAGTGGGGAAGGAGGTAGAGAGGTTTCCAAATAGGTAGTGATTATTAGGAAAGAAAAAAAAAAATAAATCCAATTTAATTTATTTTAAAATCGGATTCACTATAGAAACTTTCCTAATTTGGATTTCCCTAAATGGAAAGAATTTGAAATTCGACATTTGAATTTCAATTAGGGAGGCTAGGGGAAAAGAGGGCCGGCGGGTGGATGATGGAAGGCCGGTGACCGGATGGCCGACAGGCGGGTGGGAAGGTGGCGTCCCAAGGAGGCCGGTGGCAAGGAGGGAGGGGCTCGGGTTCTCCAAGGAATTTGGTGGGGTGAGGATTTCTTGAAAGGGAAGAAGAAAGAAACAGGCGTGGGCGGAAAGGAAAATGTAAAGCAACTAACCTCAACACCACATCCACTTGAACTCACAAAGAGATCCACGATACCCTCTCCTCAAGAACTCACAAAGAGATCTAGGGAAACTTTAGAACTCACAAAGAGATCAACAAGAAATTTTTTTTCATTCATCAATAATCCCTCATACAATAGAAGAGGCCATAATATATAAGCCTAAAGAAAACAAAATACAATGACGTGCATGCCCCTGGAGCTACTACTCAAGACAAATAAAAGAAAGGGTACAATCGGTAATATCAACTAATACATAATATCAAAATAGAACTATGCATCAAAATAAAGATTGTGGATCGTGACCATCGATCTGTGCCTCCTGCGCTGATATACTCGTCGAAAACGTCTATAGATGTCCTCATAAAAAATTGGCACAATTCTCTTCAATTTTCTATTTCAAGGTTTACCGTATGCAGAAAATGCTCATATTTTTTCCACCTGAGCCGGTGAGCACTATTAATAAAAAATTTATGTACTTTTCCTGAAAGGATTATTTTCCTTAATTGTTGCGTGACTTTGATTTCTCCGTACAACTTTATCCTTACTGTTTCTCAGCTATTATTTGGGCTATCTGGTATCTATTTGTTTGTGATTGGCCAAGGTTTGATCCCTTGGTTATGGCAACTTGATTCTTTAATTTTCAACATATGATATGTATTGTGGATGCGTTTTATTCGGATTTTTGTCCAGATTTTGATTGATAGGAGGATAGTATCTGCAATGTTTATCAGGGGCTGCCTTCAAATTTAAATTATCTAATGCTATGGACTGTTTAATTTATGTTACAAAGTATCTTTCTTGTAAAGATTTCTTATTGATATCGATCTGTGGTAGGATGATTCATATTTGGAGAGTTATATCAGCACCATCGGAGTCGATTTTGTAAGTCTATTTATTTGTTCTGGCGGGGTGTTATTAATTTGAACTTTTTGCGAAAATAATCATACTTTTGCATCTGTATTGCAGAAAATACGCACTGTTGAGCAAGATGGAAAGACTATTAAGCTTCAGATTGTAAGTTGCATCGTCTGGAATTTTACTAGTCTATGATTTATAATGTTGGTTGAAACTGCACTAATTTTTTTTTGTTTCCAAAAAACAATGAAATTGCTATGATTTCATGAAGCCACTACTATGTAGGATAGTAGAGTAGTTAAATTGTAGCGATTGATTAATATTTGTATAATCTAAGTTATAGTTTATGAATGATTGCTTTAATGTTTGTAAAAATGATGTTTTCTTCATAATTGAAGGCCTCTTTTGAGATGGCTTAATTTTGACTTTTCTATTTTGAAACGATAAAATTATTTTTGGATTGTTGTTTCAATGTGACACTTTTTACAAAACTTCATTTTTCTACTATTTTCAAAAGCTTTTTCGTATTTGCTTCAACGTTAGAAACCTCCATTCTCTTAATCAACATCTTTAAAACTACCTTTTACAAAAAGTATCTGATAACCAAACGAAACCAAAGTTTACAACAGTTGGATCATCTTGAAGCGTTGACCTGTATATTTTAGTTGTTATTGCATGTAGACCTGTCAATTTCGGGTTACGGGTCGGGTTCGGGTCAACCCGAAATTGACCCGGTATTATTCGGGTTCGGGTCGACCCGACCCGTTAATAAGCTTTGAACAAAGAAAGCTATGTAGTTTTGCACTTTTCCAAGAGAGAGCCATTTTTCAATTAAAAAAGCACGCTGCTTCTTTAGCTCATATTTGAACATATTTCACAGTTACACTTCTTCTAGAACCTTAGTTTTGAGTGCTTTTTGAATTATTTTATTTTGATTTATTATTTCCACAAATGAGGTGTTTTATACTATTGTGCAACAGTGGGATACTGCTGGGCAAGAACGTTTCAGGACAATTACAAGTAGCTACTATCGTGGTGCTCATGGGATTATCGTATGCAGTTCTTGGCTTTTATTTACTTTATTGTATTTGGTTTTAACATTAGAAACTTAACGCTAAACTTCTAATAAACCTCACAGGTCGTTTATGATGTAACAGACCAGGAAAGCTTCAACAATGTCAAGCAATGGTTGAATGAAATTGACCGCTATGCTAGTGAGAACGTTAACAAGCTTCTTGTTGGAAACAAATGTGATCTTACTGCAAATAAAGTTGTGTCTTACGAGACTGCAAAGGTGATGTTAGGAATGCTTAATTTTATTTTAGCACATTAGTTTCTAGATAGATGTTTTTTATTTAGTATAAAGTGCTATACGATGTTTCCCTCAATTTTTAGTGTTCCTACTATAAAGAAAACCGTTGATTTTATATACAACTACTCTTTTGATGAATCTCTGGGAACTCTATCAGCAGAAGTTAATTATGACTTCTTTTGGGACAGCTTTTGTATTGCTTCCTAAAACAATTTTTTAGTATAAAATTTTCTAATTCATGAATTTTTTGTACTTAAAAAGTTGTTTTAGAAATCAACAAAAAAGCTGTCTCAAACGAAGCCTATGAGAGTAAAGAGAAAGCATTATACTACTTAAGCCTACAAGTAATTAAAGTTTCGTTTGGGATAGCTTTCTTATTGCTTTCTAAAGTAGCCTTTTAATATAAATTTTTTTTGTACTGAAAAGCTGCTTTAGAAAGAAGTAAGAAAGCTATTACAAATAAAACCTAGTATATAACCTTGAATTGAAAAACATTGTTTAAAATGGATCTTTGTTGTGGAAAAAACTTTCACATTATGTTCACATTCGTTTATAATGTTGGGCTTTCCTTATGTTAGATAGTCCATAATTCTACATATTTCTATGGAAGCTATTCGCGTCATTCTATTCGTCGATTCACATAACCTATTCCAGCAGAGCATTGTACTATTTGCAAGTTTTATTGTCTACACTTAAATCCAAAAGACAATTACATAACATAGTCAAATCTTCCTGAAGAACATGGCCACCATTTCCTAAATTGTACTTTAGCCTCAATTATTATTATTATTATTATTATTTTTGCTGAAATGATAAGCGAACTGATGTTTACTTGAATTTCAGGCATTTGCTGATGAGATTGGAATACCATTCATGGAGACCAGTGCCAAGAATGCAACTAATGTTGAGCAGGCTTTCATGGCCATGGCTGCAGATATCAAGAGCAGGTGAGACTAATTTTCGTAATGGCCTTGCTTTGATTTCACCATACACATGTAAATTTAGGCTTCATTTGGGACGGCTTTCTTACTGCTTCTTAAAGCAGTTTTTAGTACAAAAATTAAAATTTATGTACTGAAAAACTGCTTTAAGAAGCAATAAGAAAACCGTCCCGAATGAATCCATAAAATTCCAATTTAATCTCATCTGAGTTTGTTTCAGGATGGCAAGTCAGCCAGCCATGAACAGCGCAAGGCCACCAACAGTTCAAATTCGTGGACAACCTGTAAACCAAAATAGCTCCTGCTGCTCTTCCTAAATTTACAACCAGTTTGCATATTCGTCTGTAAACTTAGGCTTCGTTTGAGACGGTTTTTTTATTATTTCTTAAAGCACTTCTTAGTATAAAAATTAAAATTTTTGTACAAAGAAGCTGCTTTAAGAAGCTGAAAGAAAACTGTCCCAAATGAAACCTTAGTGTTCAGGTTCATATTGAACTCATGATTACACCAGTCCCCTACCTGATTGTTTGCCTTAATCGTTCCTTTCAACTATTATAAAATTTCATTCTTTCCATCGTCTATTATTTTTATTGTGGAACCTTCAAAAAAATTTAGGCCTTTATATTCTTATGTAATATCACTGTACTATTTAGCATGATTCAAGTGCTGCTCAGGCTCGTGCAAATATGATCTGCGTTTATATTATGGGCTGTGCTATGGGAGAAATTATTCGATGCGAAGTTCTGGACATGGAGCAGTACGGACGTAGCTCTATGTCCGGACTCCAATCAACGATAGACACGTATTATTTGATTTTAATTATTTTTCTGTCATGTGGTTATTTTTACTAATAGCGCGGCCTGAAGACTTGGCCCAACGACGTGATAAGAATGTTGTTCCAAATGAAGTCTTAAGATTATTTTGGGATGGCTTTCTTACTATGTTTCAAAAAGATTTTTAGTAAAATATTTTAATTTTTATATGAAAAAATTACTTTAAGAAAAGATCAAAAACTTATTTTGAAAATTTTTTGATATAAATTTTCTATTATATTTTCATCGTCAACTATTTTCATTTTTCTCGTTTATTTTAAGAAAATGACATGGATTTGGTTACTCTCCTCAAGTATGAACATGTAAGATAATGGAAAATATGAACATGTATTTCTTTAAGTATAACATAATAATGAGACATACATAATATGAGCAATAAAATAATGACCAATAAATACTAGTGGAGACATTAGCCATCCCAACTATTTGCTGAACAGGTACTTAATAATAAGAAATTATGATTAAAAAAGTGTAGATCTCGATGTATAATGATTGCTAATAATTTATACTTCATGTATAATCAATTTTTTGTCCTCTCTACTTATGAGTATGATAGAGAAATGCAATCATTAAAGTGATGTTTGATTTGAAGATATGGGTGCGAAATATTTTAAATATAAGAGTTTTGGGAATATTTATATTTATTTTGAGTAAAACAAATGCAGCAGAAAATTTTAGCATATTTGAATTTTATCATCTAGTTCAATTTTGATTTATTTGAAATTTCTCATATTTGGGCGATTTCTAAATGTATCATAAATTTATTGTCATTGTCGCCGCTAGACATCACCCTTATCCCGGCCACCACTCAACTTTTGTTGCTGCCACTTCCATGAGCCGCCATAATGGCTACTGTCGACCACCAATCACCACAAATTGATGTCTGTATCTGATACGTCATGCGAAAATTAACTTGATCGGGCACAAATCTCGAGGCAAAATCAAGTTGGAAACTTCAAAAATTAAATTCGGGAGCACCTGAACTCCGATTTCAGCGAGCTTACAGTCAAACTGAGCGTCTCGGAAATACGAATCCAACAACACCAAATTTGACCCAATCCGAGTCCAAATGGGTCCAAATCATGGATCCGAAGCGCTGTTGGAAGGTTCAAACCACTATTTGAGTTACCAAACGGACTCCGATTTTGACGAGCTTA